ATAAATGAACCATCAGTACAATAAAGTACTTTATTTCCTATTACATGTGATATTCCATCATTTACACAAAACCCCAATTCATTGAGAAATTGGTTTTTAAAACAAATTGAACACATTTCATTTTCACAAAAATAACAATTGTCGTCCCCACAATTGTTACATTCCTTTTTCATATCTCCTGATGAACATTTTATACAAGAATTACCATTTGACACAATACAGTTGATATTTGAAATACAATTACCATTTTTGTCCAACACTTTATCATTTGAACATTTGTAACACGTATTTTTATCACCAATAACACAGCCGTTTTGAAATGGTTGACACTCAAAATCATCATCCAAATAATACCCATTTTTGCATAATTCACAAATATTTTCAGAATTAAATCTTTGGCAATTTGATGTTATATTAAGACATATACCATTCAATAACCGAGTCTGTGAATTACATTTCAAACATTTTGAATTATCACTGTTGATTTTCATCAATACACAATTATCAACTTTGTTATTTGATACGAGTGTTCCATCACTTTCCAACGACATGATTATTTCGATTTTTTGATCGACTGTTTCAACAAATAACAAATTTTGAATTTCTTTAACTTCTTTTGTGATATAAATAAATAAATTTGAATTTAACAAAATAAATGAAATTGTTCCAGTGCAATTAATTTTTAATGTATCAATGTTCTGTTTCAATTCAATTGTTAATTTAACAACATTTGAACAAAACAATTCTTGTTTTTGTGAATTATATATAAATTGGTTTTGTTGATGTGTTGGATTGGAGATAGTCATTGATCCAATACTAAAAGCAAAAGTAGTTTGATCGATGTTACCACCGACATTTAAAAATATGTCATCCTTCAAATTAATTGTACCAAACGAATTTACGTCTTGTAATGTCGTGTTTTTGTCCACAAAAAGTGAAGTGTGTGTTGTTTTAATGTTACCAAAATAAAAAGTGTTTGATTGTATTCCGTTAAACAAATATAATTCGCATATTGTGTTTTCATCATCACAAGGACAATGTGGAAAGTCAAATGCGTAACTAAATGTATTTGAATATTTTTCAACATACAAGTTTTGTTTTAGAATACATTTTACTGTTGAATTTAAATTTCTTCCATTGGGGCAAAATCTAATGAGTCTTTTGTTTGAAAGTAAATTTGCAGTTCCATTTTCAAATTGCAGTGGAAAGTCGTTGGAACCATAATGATCATCGGCCGTGTTTATGTCCAAAATTGTTATATCCGGCAACGAGAAAACATCGAAACAATTTATATTGTTTTGTGGGTTGGTAATAAAAAAGTCGACTCTATTTGGCATATTTTTGTTTAAGTGTAAATAGTTTGAGTCCCAAACAACGATTGGGGGATTATTCATTTCAATAGATTCAATTGTTAAATTTCCCGCAAGTGAAAATTTTTGGTA